TATGGGCAATTTTACAAGGCCTTTATTTTGAAACGCAACATCAGAATGTTTTGATATTCACATGGTATCACTGTGGGTTTGTGTACTGTTGATGTAAAGTGGAAGTACCCTGTGGAAACAGCAATTTTCCATTTTAGAGCATTTTGAAATCGTTAAAAGAGTCGGTCAAATATGGGCGATTTCAAATTGCTGTGGTTTGATAGTGTTGATACAAAATGCAACTACTCTTTGTAAATATGACTTTTGCTTTCAAGAGCATTCTGAAGTCATTGAACGAGTAGTTCAAAAATGAAAATTCACAGGGCTTTTACTTTGAAATCCAAAATAAGATTGCCTTGATATTGACAGGGCGCTAACAGTGAACAACCCTAAATTATTTGTTATTATGTTCTTAAAATATCTGATAATTCACTCGAAGTTGAATTGTATTTTGAAATCCGGTTTCCACATCTATTCCCGTAATAACTTGAATAGACGGGGAACAGAAAACAAACTGGAGGCTGGCTTGACTGCAAGCCTCCAACTGGAGGCTGGCTTGACACCAGTTGTTCCGGCGGGGGGGTTCAGGCGTCCTCAAGACGCCGTCCGGGGTGCGTCTCTGCCTCTAGCTGGCCCTGTCTGCCATCCTGGCTCTCTCTCTCTGTCTTTTTTCTGGTCCACACGTTCCTTCCTTTAAAAAATCTGTCCTGCCTGCGTCTGTTCATTAATTGGCAGTCCAGGAAACACTGCCACAGGTGTAGATGATCGGGGTGATTACAGAATGAACACACAATGTTGCACCAACAACTAAAAACACACCATCAACAAAAACATGCACATCAGAATAAGCAAAACACACAACCAACAAAAACGTGCGCATCAGAATAAAAACAAATAAAAGATGCAATATAAAATAAAACATTAGTGCAACATGACCACTCTGTGACACAGATGCAAACCTGAAGAAAGGCAGGTATTTTCTTGTGTTGCCCCTGCGTGCACAGATTAAGCAGCTTCTACAAGAGCACAGTGCCAGTCTTAATCGCCATGCTAAAACATCTGGGATTCTCTCTGACATACAGTCTGGTGAAGAGTATTAAAAGTTATGTTACAGTGGTGTTCTTGGTGAAGATGACGTGACATTGATTTGGAATTGTGATGGAGCACCGGCCTTCAAAAGTTCAAATTTACAGCATTTGGCCATTTCAGTTTCAGCTCACTGAACTGCATCCAGATGTAAGGAAAAATCACATTTTAATGTCTGCTTTATGGTTTGGCCCTGGCAAGCCATCTATGTTTACATTGCTATCGCCATTTGTCAAAGAAGCATCATTATTGGAGACTGAAGGTGTCGATTGGCAAGACAGACAGGGTAACCATCATGTTTCTAAAGTGTTTGTGCTGATTTGTAGCTCTGATTCTGTAGCTTGACCTTTGCTTCGCAACACCAAGCAGTTCAATGGCTTTTATGGCTGAGATTTTTGTTTACACAAAGGTGGGAAAACCTATCCATATGATAGACCTGAACCTCCCCTGCGAAATGAGACCGATCATTTCAGCCATGCAATGTCAGGATCTGTTAATGAGCCAGTGTTTGGAGTTAAAAGCCCATCTCTTTTAATGAAGCTTGGTCACTTCCAAATGATCCATGGTTCATTCCAGAACATCAGCACAATGTGTGTCTTGGAGTTACTCGTCAGCTGTCTACACTCTGGTTTGATACAGCAAACAGTGATGCCCCCTGGTACATTGGTAAACAGATAAAAGAGATTGATTTGCAACTCGAAAAAATAAAGCCTCCTGTTGAGAAAACTAGGACACCAAGGTCACTTAGGCCCTGTCCACACGTAGCCGGGGATCTGCCAAAACGTAGATACTTTTCTACGTTTTGGCCTGTCATCCACACAAAAACTGAGTTTTTTCACACGAAAACTGATCTTTTTAAAAACTCCGGCCAAAGTGAAGATCTGCGTTTTCTCCGTTTTGGGTGTCTGCGTGTGGACAGACAAAACCCGAGTTTTAAGGTCCGCAACGTCACTTTCCGCGACAAAAAATGCTGACATCACGTGTGTGACCTGTGTTTACACTAGCCGACATCATGAAAGCTCTCAGAGCTGCGCTCGCATAATCAATTGTCCAGGCGCTTTTTGCTTGTTTGTTTTTGCAAGCGGAATTACTGCTCCTTGCGGAAGACCGCAGACGAAGGACGAGGTTAAGAACGGGTGAAGTACTGCCGCCTACAGGTCTGGCATGTCTTTAACAACGTATTTATCTGGGTACGTGTGGACAGTTTTTTTTTTAAACGAGGTGGTGTGGATGCAAGTTTTTGGAGAGGCGGATGTTCGTTTTTTAAAAAAACCGGCTACGTGTGGACTAGGCCTAAGTGAAAGAAAATTCTGGAACGCTTCAGAGTGGCGAGCCTTCCTCCTCTTCTGTGCTTTGCCTATATTGAAAGGTATACTACCTGTTAGATTTTGGAATCATCTGTTCCTTTTGGTATTCTGCATGTACACATTACTGCAGGATAAGATCAAGACTAGGAGCATTTTGATGGCAGAACTGGCCCTTAAAAAATTTGTTATTGAGTTTCAAAGACTTTATGGAAAGGACTGCATGACTTTCAACATACACTTGCTCACACATGTCACACAAAGTGTCAAACATTGGGGGCCTTTTTGGGCTACATCAACATTTCCATCTGAGTCCAATATGGGCACTTTACTTAAGTATTTCCATGGAACACAGTATGTCCCTTCTCAAATCTCTAGAAAATTTCTGATGTGGAGAGAATTGCCTGAAAAGGCAAAACACATGATCAGCTCTGGAAATACAAAGGTTCGATTATTTGTTGAAAAACTTTGTCAATAAGCATAGAACAGATAAATGTGTCACACTACATGAAGGTATTAATGTGTTTGGCCATCCCCCACTCAAAGAAAATATCCCAGCTTCACATCGAACTGCCATTGTTAAATATGTGGCAGTCTAAGCAACTTCTTCTGGTATTATGGACGTTTTTTGCTTGATGGAGTTCTGTATCACAGTCAGACATACGACATATTAAAGAAAAAGGTTTAACAGTGCTGTGTACTTGAAAGTTGGTCAACTGTGTTTAATTAATAACTTGATTGTCTTCAAAAACAAGTGTGCACATGAGAACCCTGGATGTTGTGCATGCACTAAACATTGCCATGTTTTGGTTGAGGAACTGAATAAAAGTAGGCTTTTTTGTAAAGATTCACAGATAAATGTACAGTGTCATTTCATATACGATGTTAGGAGAACTGGAAACACAAATGCTATCTGGACTGATATGATAACGGCAAAATGTGTTGTTGTTGAAACAGCTGATAAATTATACGTTACACCTTTGCCACATCCATATGAACGGGACTAAGAAAGCTGACACGAGTAACCTTACTCACATAATTCAAGTGTTGCTGTAGACCTGTTTTGCAATTTAGCAGTTTGTTTAATTTTTGTACATTATATTCTTCATATAAAAAATGCATGTGTTATGCTAATGGCCAATATGAATCGTCTGTCAGATCTGGTTTCAAATAAACCTTGGGAAAATATTTTGTCTCTGTGTTGGTTAATGGTCATGCAGTGCACCAGGCTAAAGACCAAAGGTGACAGATCATTTGCTGCCGTGGCCCCCAGACTCTGGAAATAATTTTTTTCTTAATCTTTTTTTTTTTTTTTTTTGTTATGAAGAGCCTTGTGACTTTTAACTTAAGAGCTTCTATTGCTAGGTGACCTGATCAGGTCACTAACATTCACTCTTGAGCTATGTTCCAAAGCCTAAAGATAGCCTCCAAGGTAAAAACTTGCAAGATGGGATTTGCAAATGATATATACATCTTGCACTAACTAGTATGAGTGAAATAAAATTTACAATTAATAAATGGTAAATGGCCTGTATTTGTATAGCGCCTTCTTAGGCTTCTACAACCCCCAAGGCGCTTCACAACACAATCAGTCATCCACCCTTTTACACACTGGTGGTGATGAGCCACTTCGTAGCTACAGCTGCCCTGGGGGACACTGACGGAGGTGAGGCTGCCGAGCACTGGCGCCACCAGTCCCTCCAACCACCACCAGCAGGCAATGCGGGTTAAGTGTCTTAAGTGACACTGCGACAGACTGAGCGGGACACGAACCTACGACTTTCTGGTTGCAAGGCGGCCACTTAACTCCTCTGCTACCATCGCCCCCTTAAGTATATCAGTCAAAAGTTTAAACACAAGTAAGATAATATACTTAAACTTTTAGTATACCTCTTAGTGTGAGCCTTTTAGTATACTTTTTAGTATAAGTATAAGTAACAAACTTGGTATATCTCCAAGTAAGTACACTTAGAGTAAACTGAAAGTATACTCTCTTCTTTTTAGTTTACAATTAGTATACTTGAAGTACACTTGCATATACTACTTTTCGGTAAGGGTTGGCTGGTAATGAAATGGATTGAGTAAGTTACTCCCATATGAAGGTATTTAAAGGTATAAAGGTGTTTTTTAAACCAGGGATACCCAGTCCTGGTGGGGCTCCGGTATCCAGCATGTTTTTTGTTTCTTTGCTCCAGCTCACTTGATTCTGTGGTTGAATTACCCGTTCAGCAGGTCAGCAAGCTCTGCAGAAGTTAATCATGTGTGTTTAAGCAGGGAAACAACTAAAACATGCTGGAAATCGCCGGCCCTTCAAGGCCAGGATTGGAGACTCATTTTTAAAACCGAATAGAAAAACAATGGCAGCAAAAGACTCTCCTGTTGCTTTAAGTAAAAGAAGAAATCTACTGGAAGATGTATCACTCTGCTTGGATTCTGGCGGGTGTAAAATACGATGGTAAATAAAATGTTTATGTAATGTGAACAAAAGAGTGACATTCATATAATTATGATTTAACTTCATCACGTTTAACATAAATTAAACATAGGGATGAAAACAAATGTACAGAATAAAGGAACATTTTAAATATGTGCTGTTCCGAATTCTGATAAAACAACGCGTGATACATCTTCGCGTGAAGGTTTCATCACAGGATCCTTTCTCGGTCTCAGTGCTTTTGACGGACGTGGTGGTGTAGTAGGAAGATGTTCCGTAAAAAGATCGTCAAACTCTCTGTTTTTGGACTTAAAAATGTCTCAGGACGAGGACAGGTGCTGTCTGCGGCAGTTTTCAGGTTAAACACGTCACCTAAAGTCATAACTACGATTTAAACGTTTGTCTGTGAGCGTAGCTGTGGTGCAGGCTACTTGCACTTTCTTCAATTAACATGGTGTTTTATATATAATATGTCAGCAGTATTTTGCATTTAATCTTGAAAGGCTGGTATTTTTATTTTCGCTAAAGTTAATGACTAAGTGTGAGAGTTTAACCTTTGACCCATTTGTTGACTGATTTAAATGGCAGTGTTCCAGCTAGTTTTTAGGTCATCTTTTTAGATTTTCTATGTCTTGTTATAAAAAACAAAAACACACAAAAATGCATTACAGTGGCTGAAACTGGTACATTCCACCAGTCACAGATTTAAACTATTAATTTCTTGATAATTGTGTCTCAAAGCTAATAAAGCACACAAATAATATTTGTTGGAAGATTAGACTATTGTGGAAAAGTTCAGTATTTTTTAATTAATCAGTTAAATAATACAAAAAGGCTTCTTGAGCAAGTGCTTGTCTTTTTTTATTTAACAAACAGTGATTGTTCTCATTTTTCCTGCCAGAAATCAGCACAGCAAGGCTGAGCAACATGGGCAGCCCACTTCGATCCGGCCAGAGACCTCTACTGCCAAGACCTTGATGGACATTGGTACCCGCCGGATCTTCAACGAGGACCACGATATCTTCAGGCAAAGTGTCCGGCGCTTCTTCCAAGAGGAGGTTGTCCCTTACCACCATGAGTAAGTGAAAGCTGGAAGCACAGTCTCTGTTTTGGGTGGTTGTTGTTCAAGTAAATTTTTAATTTTTGTTACTTTTGCTCAGGTGGGAGAAGGCAGGTCAAGTGAGTAGAGAGGTGTGGGAGAAAGCTGGGGAGCAAGGCCTGCTGGGAGTATCGATACCAGAGGAGCATGGTGGTATAGGTGGAGATGTGTTTTCTTCAGCTATCACCTGGGAGGAGCAGTGAGTTGTCTTAAACCTGTTATATGTGAAGTAAAGTCTGGCCTAAGTTCTGATAAATAGTCATCCACTTTGATTCCAGAATGTATAGCAACTGTTCTGGTCCGGGTTTTTCTTTGCACTCTGACATCATCATGCCTTACATCGTCAAATACGGCAGCAAGGAGCAGATTGAGTGTTTTGTTCCGAACATGACTGCTGGGAAATGCATTTGTGCAATTGCAATGACAGAACCAGGAGCTGGCAGGTCAGAGGTTGTTTTGCATCATAGAAACAGACTCAAATAGAGTTAATGTTCCACAGCATTGATAACTCTTCTGTTCACTAACTTAGCGATCTGCAGGGTGTAAGAACATACGCCAAGAAGGATGGCAGTGACTGGATTCTGAATGGTAACAAGGTACATCATCACACAGACAACAGTGTTTGTTGGTTCTCAACAGCAGTAGGAATTATTTTATTTTCCTGCCTCAGGTGTTTATCTCAAATGGTTGGATGGCAGACCTGGTGGTGGTTGTAGCCGTGACCAATCGTGATGCAAAGACAGCAGCTCACGGGATCAGCTTGTTCCTGGTAGAGGATGGCACGAAAGGTTTCCAGAAAGGACGCAAGTTAGAAAAAATTGGTCTCAAAGCACAGGTAATGGAGCTCAGTAGTAGTTCTAATTTATTTAGCATCAGAAGCACCTTATTGTTGTTTGGCTTCTTTTAAAGGACACAGCTGAGCTCTTCTTTGAGGATGTGCGACTTCCTTCCAGTGCCCTCTTGGGCCAGCTCAACAAAGGTTTCTACTACCTGATGAATGAACTACCACGGGTGATGAATGGATATGTCCACACAAGTCTTTCACTCTAGCACTAATGTATCTAACATTTGTTTTTGCCAATAGGAACGTCTAGTGATTGCCGACATGGCCATAGCAAGCTGTGAGTTCATGTTTGAGGAAACCAGAAATTATGTTATGCAGCGGAAGGCTTTTGGCAAGACCATTGCTCATCTACAGGTTTGTATGACCAAGTAATGATTTTAAATGATACAATTATCAATGCACATTTCAATCATAAAAAGGCTGGGTATAGTTTTGGGGGCTTGTCCAGGATTCCCTTAGAATTTATGTTTTAGCTTGGGGGCTGTGTTGCCTTTTCATCAACACTTTTCTTGGTATGCTAATCATAGCTTGTTCCCTAAACTTTGCTGCATACAATGCTTTATCTTCTGATTCAGAAAGGTGGAAGACAGTGGTAAAGTTTTTATTTGTTTGTGTGATTGTTTGTTCAGCAGTAAGCAAAATATCTCATGAACTCCTGGATAGGTTTTAATGAAACTCTCAAAGTGTCTTTGAAATCTTTGGATGTATGTGTACAACTTTTGTCTACCAAATTTAAAATTGCTATGCCATTACAACTAATTGAAGTGAGCAAACACAAGACCCACTTTAAGTCAGTTTTATAAATATCTTACTTAAATTGCCTATGGTAGTACCGTAGATAAGAGTAATTCAGGATTTGACCAATATGGCTAAAATTCTATAATTTCCCAACATGCAAACAGTGTTAATTTTGACAGGAAATTTTAATTTTATTTTAGTCTGTCTTTTGGCTAAAATTAATTTTAGTCTTAGTCCAATTTTAGTTATTAGATTTATTTTAGTTTTAGTCCCATTTTAGTCGACGAAAATAACAAGTAATTTTAGTCGATAAAAATAAGCAATTTTAGTCAACAAAATGCATATATTTTTTCTAATGAAGTAATTTCCTACTTTTGTATAGAGCACGGAAAAACTAGTATAATTTAATACACAGGGTCCAAACTCTTAACCACCACTGATCAGATATTGTGCACACAGCTAAGAACATAGAATATTTGAATAAAAAAACACTTCACATGTTTAACACTTACGTGTTTAATAAAAAACAAAAAGCACACTGGAAATGACAAAGGTGCTCTTTTTAGCAATTGCACAACAAGAATTTACAAGAACAGCAAATTTAAACATGTTAACCCTGAGTCTGTAGATATTCACTTGTTACAACACAGGCTCAACCAAACAGTGTGAATATTTATTTGCTGCTATTCATTTTGAGAAAAGCACTTTGTGCTAGTGTGACCTTTGCTCGGTTGCGTTTCCCTCTAGTGAGGTCACCTGTGATACTGAACACTCTTTCTGCAAAAGATTGAGAAGCTGGCATTGCCAATATATCTAATGCTAATGGTTTCAGGCTGTGATAAAATGTGTCACATTTTCCAAGCCAAAACTCCATTCCTGTTTCACAAGTGATGCACTGTGAGAGCTTTTCCTTATACTGGCTTATCTGCTGTCTAACACTACACTTGGAAGACTTTGGTTTAGGCTTTGTTCCGAATTTGGAGAGAAACCTAAAGACTGGTTGTCTGGAGGAGGAGGAGGCAGATGATGAAGAGGAGGCGGCGGCGGGTGGTGCCGGTTCAGGTCCATTCAGTTCCTCCAGATCAGAGTGGTTCTCCTGTGTCTGAGAGCACCGAACAACATACCCTTCTGCCTGCTTGAGCAGCTCCTGAATGTTATCATCAGCCACATTTAGGAGGGTCTGACACACAGTAGGATTGAGAAAGCAAGCAGCTGCTACAAGTGGGGAAAACTTGTCATCTGAGGGATCAAGTACCCAGGCAAAACGCTGGTTCACATTCCCTTCCATTTTACATGCTGGAGCAGCAACATCTCGACTTGTGTTTTGTTCCACATCTGCCAGATGGCTGAGTAAATCAAAGAGAGCAGGGAATATTAATGACATAGACATTGTGCCACTCTGAAGAGTTTGTGTGTGCTCAGCAAAAGGCTGCAAAAGTTCTTGTGTTGACTTCAGCTTCTGCCACTCACTTGAGAGCAAGCAGTCCCATCCCATCTCGTTTGCTACTTCACAAACAGATTCTTAAACTTTGAGGAGACGTGCAACCATTTCATAAGTACTTGACCAGCGTGTGGGGCAGTCATTCACAACAGTTAGGCCGCACTCGTCCAAAATCTTCTGTGTTGCGACTGATGACTTGCGAAAAAGTTTCACGATTGATCGGACTTTGTTCAAGACTCTGTTGATGCTTTCCTCCTTGTTTATCATGTGGACAACAAGCTGCAGCGTATGAATGACACATGGCATCCTGTCCATTCCTAGGTCTTGACACTGCAGGTTTTCTGTCTCCTTGGAATCACTTTCACTTAGGATGGATGCATCTGGATCATCGGATCTGGAATCTTCATCTTCTGTTTGAATGCTGCCACCATATTGCTACCATTGTCTGTTATTACGGTGAGTTCTTTCTCATTTGGGATCCCCCATTCTTGCATGCACTTTTCCACACAAGCCTTAATGGACTGGGCAGTGTGTGAATGGTCAAGTTGTTCAAGAGCTAGCAGTAAGTGTTGTGGTTTTTGTTGTTCAACACAGAAAAAGCAGCAACTTATGCCAAGGAATGATGCTGTCAGTCCCTTTTTAGTCCACAGATCAGTCCCAATACATACATTTCTGGCACTGGTCTTTTCTTAAATGTAGCTTTTTTGTTTTCGTAGTGTTTTTCAATTAGATTACTTATCTTGGTTTTCTTTGGCACAGTAAACTTCTTATCCAAACTTTCCATCAGAATAAAATCCTCATCTTCTTCTGTTGTGATCGGCAATCCTGTACATCCAATCCATGTAGCGATAGCCTCTTCTTTAATTTTTTGTCCTTTGGCATCACTCTTGTACTTTGTAGTACTTGTAAATGCATCCTCAATGTTCTGGTTAGACATTTTTGCCTTTTTGGTAGCTGGTTGGCCACCATCAGCAATGGTTTTCTGCAACTGCAAAAAAATAAAGATACACAATTAAAACATTGACTTTCTAACAATGATTTACCTGTTGCTTTTTGAGATTCCATACATTTTATATATATATATAAATATTTATTTGCACAGATATGAACACTAGATGGCGCCCCTGCGCTGTTCACTTCGCCAGGCTGAGTAAGGGAGAGCTAACAGTAGTAGTCATCACAGCAGTGTTTATCCCAACTGATGCTAATGTAAACGCGGCTCTCTCTCTCCTGCAGAACACCTCTAACAAACAGCAGCGGGTCTACCCTGAGGGCGTTCATATAGGCTACTAGCAGAGGATTTTAACAAAGCCAACCTAAAGGCAGTACCGTTTTTTCACGACCATAGGGCGCAACGTGTTACGGGTGTCTTTTTGGTCTTTAACACATGCAAAAGGTGCACCGGGTTATAAAATGTACTGGTAAAACATCTGTGCGGGCTTGGGACTCGGATCATATCAGTGCAAACCAGACATTGTGAAAATTATAAACAGCCAAAAGCATGCTTCACTTTACTGGTCTAGTCCTGGTTTAGAGCGCACGTACAGCAAGCGGCTGCGACCCAAAAAGTACCAGAACCGCTCACGGCACATGCGCAATCATGCATCAACACTGCTCGCCCGCTATTTCCCTAATAACACACGTTATAGTCATGAAAATATGGTACTTCCGAATTTTTATCCCAACATGACAGAGTTGATACGTTTTCATTTGCCTTTATATTACTTTTCGGGTCGTCACGTGTACAACATTTAAGTGGATTTACCTCGGAGAAAATGGCGAAGTTGCCATTTTGTAGATGCCTCTTCAGATTCGTTGTGTTCTTTCCTCGGAACAACAGTCCACACTCTCGGCATGTAGTTTTGGTAGCAATGTTATCGAAAGAAAAATGACTCCACACATCTTCTCTTCTTTTTCGCCCAACAGTTAACATTTTCCTCTACTCCTTCTTATGCCGTCGATATATTCAGTGAGCTACGTTCAGCATACCGCGCATACCTGCCCCTTTATACTATTCGGGGTCTGTCTTCGCTCACGTCCCGCACGTTCACGGCACGCCACGCCCCTTGTCTTCTACTACGTTCGCGTCTCACAACAACACAGCGCCATGTGGATTTTCGTCTCGTCTTTCATTCGTTGACTAAAAGTTTCAATCAATTAAATTATTGTCTTCGTCTTTTTCCAAGCTTTTATTTAGAAATGTTGTTTCATTTTCGTCTGTAAATATATTTTTGTGACGAAAAAAAAAGACAAAAATATTTTGTCAACAAAATTAACACTGCATGCAAAACTTGCATCAAAACTCTTGTGTGAATGATGATTAATTAATACAAAGAGGGGTGCACATAGGTTGTGCACCTCGGTCCCAAAATTAATGCGTGCTTAAAAGTTATTTTGCTATAATGCTTGGTGTTTTGTTGGTATTCCCATATGTTCTGCAGTTGACTTGTGTTTCCCAAAAAGCCTCTGAACCTGTCAAACACCTGAAAACTTACATACTTCTCAAAAGCTTACTCCCAGTGCTATCTGCTGGTAACCTTACTTTGTCACACTTTACTATTGTCCGATTGTTCAACCAGTAAGGGTGGTGGTGCATATCAAGCATCTATTCATGGTACTCACTTGAGTCTATAGTTGAACAAAATATGTGCACCCCTCATAAATTATTGAAATGATGGTGCACACTTCTAAAACAAAGCTTGAGTTAAAGGCAAAAGTTGTCCCATCAAATAGATGGGGTCTCGTCCGGGATTCTCTTAACTTTGTGTTCATTCTCCAATATCAGTATATGTTTTTGTTTTTTAACACGGTCTCTGGTACTCTCATTATCTTGTTTGGTGCCTGCTCACTAGTTTAAAAAGGCCTTGGGGCTGTTATTTGATCAAAGTTGCATAGATATTTAGTCTGAAAACAAGCCAAATATGTAAAAAGTTATCAGAGTCAGGGAGACTTTCAAATGTATGAGAATCCTTTATTTTTACTTGATAATTCTTTTACATTTCTTTTAATCAAAGGACTGAGTTACACAACGCCTGTTTATTCGAAGGGCCAATGGTGTGTTTTGTATTTAAGACTGTGCAGCACAAGCTGGCAGAGCTGAAGACCGAGATCTGTGTGGGCCGAACCTTTGTCGATAACTGCCTTCAGCTTCTTTCTGAGAAACGACTGGATCCATCCACTGCCTCCATGGCCAAGTTCTGGTAGGAAAGAAAGTTTAAAAGCATTTAATTTGAGTTAGCCACCTACTAAACTCTTATCTTTTTCAGGGCATCTGACCTCCAAAACAAGGTGGCCACTCAGTGCCTGCAGCTCCATGGAGGATGGGGCTACATGTGGGAATACCCCATTGCCAGGTGAGTAACACACAAGTTGCTCAATAAGGCAGCTTAATGCTGGGTTCAAGTCGGTTAACAGATGTTTGTGCTTGCAGGGCATTTGTTGACTCACGTATTCAACCAATCTATGGAGGCACCAATGAGATAATGAAGGAGCTAATTGCTCGTAACATTGTCAGCACGAATTGAGACATTTGGAGGGTTTGGATGCGTCAAAGATGTCCCATCAGAACCTTTATCCCGCATTCCCGTCCACATGCATAATTCAGAGCACTAACTGGTTCTCTGTGATCAAACATTTGTTTGGTGTAGCATCTATGATAGATGATAATCTAAATTTATGTGAATATTTTATCATGACATTGTCATATGTTTGGATAGAAACTGATTGGTTTTTAATATCTTGTGTTTATTTTGTAGATTTGGACACATGGAAACTTTCTAACATAAAGATTCATATACACAATATCACTAAAACATGGGCAACTACGACCTTTTTGTTATTTTTTTAGTCACATATGTCATAATAAAAGTGTGTGAATGCCATTCAAACGAAAACCTAAATTAGATTCATTTCTGCACTATGTAACTTCCACCAGTAGGTGGCAGCAAGTGATTACCAGAGTTGGTACAATATTTCTGTGGGCTTTTATTTGAATTTAGCTTGTAAAAGCTGTGAGTGAATTGTTTAAAGTAAGTATATTTACAACGTTTTCAGTTCTGTTTTGCAGGTTTATATATACATATTTGTGTTTGTTATTATGCTCTTTCAAAGTATCCTGCTGGTTGTGAAATTGTGTTCTTTGTGATTAAGCAGTCAGCATCCCTGCCATGAAAGTTGTAGCTACCGGTCCTCCTTCCCCTCATGTCTCCCCCATGTTCACCCCGCCTTCCCACTCTTCCCTCATTATCCCCCCCCCCCCCCCCCCCCCCCCACACACACACACACACACACACACACACCGTTTCCCTCGCACTCTTTTTCCTCAGCAACAGCCACACCCCAGTACTGCAGCTCTGCAGGGCCTTCAACCCCTCTATCCCAGTTATTACGGTAAAATAAGCTGAGGCTTTATTTATTTATTTTTTTCTTTACAATGACTTTCATAGGAAGGCAGAGATGGGGAACCATCCAGAAGTGTTAAGATAAAAGTTGATACTAATTGATTTTCCCACGAAAACAGTCAAAAGTTGGATATTTCACAGAGAGCTCAAGGAAGATGACCACATTGTGCTTAATGAAGCTGTATTTGTTTCATTTGTTTATTTGATAGATGCTTTTATCCAACGCAACATACAATTGTTAACCTATAGGACATGTTGTGATCTGTGGGGAAAACCGGAGTATCCGGAGGAAACCGACGCATGCATGGGGAGAACACGCAACTCTAGTAGAAAGACTGCAGCCGGGTTTCGTACCTGCAACCTTCTTGCTGCGAGGCAACATTGCAAACAACTGTGCCACCATGCAGTTTGTTTACTAAGTAAATGACAAAAACAAGTAATCATGTTGATTACTATGTCTTGTGAAGGATTGAAAGAAGTTCTATTATGCAGAAGTAGCCAAATGATTGTGTCTGTTCAGTAAATTAAAATTCACTTGGACTTTTTGTTGTTTTTTTGTAAAACACACCAGTAACTAGTGAAACATGACTGGTACTGTATGCAGACATGTATGCATGGCAACAATAATGCATACATAATGTTTTCTTTGCCACTACACTGCTTTCCGTACAGATGTTACACACGTGTTCCTTTGTTGATATGCGTTTAGCTAGCTTCTCTGTGATGTCCAAGCAGCAAAAACTGCACACACTCATAACCAGCTCATTCCCAGCACACTGCTCACACCACTGGGGCCACGGCGAAAGTGCAAACATTGTGTTTTAGTAAATTCATCCCTTCCCATGTTTAAACTTTTGTGGTGACCATCATCCAAACATGGTACTCATTTCAGTAAGCCATGTGTAAATGTTGAATGCATCTCTGCCAAAAACCTTAGTTTCAATCATTAAAAAAAAAAAAAAAAGAAACCAAGCAAATAAAGTTGTATACTCCAGGATTTGGACACATGCCTCCACCCTGGACTTTCAACTCATCTGAACTGCACAAAGCCTTCATGTTCTTTCTGCAAGTGGACAAACCCAAGTAAATAGTTGGAGATGAGCTTGGCTGGGCTCCATAGGCAAAGGCCCAGGTATGAGGTGCTTGCAAAGGGACCCAAACCCCAAGGGTGGCTCTAGGGTGGGACCCCAATAATCTTCTGGGCTGGGTAGTCTGGTTGTGCAATCACGAAAGATCTTTTGAATCACACTTTAGTTTGTCGTGGTATATTTGGCATGAGATCCACTGCCAGTTGTTAAGAAATCCACAGGACAGAATAGCATCTTGGCTCATAAGGGAACTCAAACTCCTCTACCATGGCAAGATGGTGGTTCAAGAATGAGTCCCACTGATGGAGATTGCTGGGGAGATGACAGTTTTGAGCCTCTGGAGTGGCTGCTGACCAGGACCAGGATAACCGGACTTTAATGAACAAAAACAAATACAGCTGGGTTCTGGAGCACAGTGGGGTTGCTTCCAAATGACATTCATCAAACAGCCTCATCTTGACTTTCCCAAAGCGTATTTCAACTTATTTCTCAACACCAAAATGTTGTATTGTAACATTTTTGAAAACTATATGTATCTTCACATTTTAAATTTAATCTCAGATGTTCCTCCTTTTCCCCTCTTTATTCTGCTCGTCTAAAACCACGTCAGAGAAAACATCAGTTGCATTTACGTCTGGTCTCATTGATGCTAGTCTCCCTATTGCGCTTGTATTCTGAAATTTACGGCAGCTTAATTTGCTGAAGGAGGCGGAGCTTCGGAGTCCCCATGCCTTGCGTTCATTGCCACCGTAGCTGCTTACACTCTCACACACACACGTACACACACACACACACACACATACAAGGGCATTAGTGTTGGAGCCGCTGAGCAGCTTAACCCTCCAGGTAAGAACCGAACCGTTTTATGTATCCATAACGGAGAAAATAAGCTTCATTGAAGTTAAAAACCCCTGGCACGAGCTGGGAGTTTGTGTCATTTGGAGCTCGCGCTGTAAAAGTTTGATGAACGTTCAGATCTGCAGCGGTGTGGTTGCTGTCATCTGTGGGGATTTTGTGACTTTACAGTGTTGATATATTTAGTGTTATGGCTTAATGTGCTGCTTTTTAAAATTTAGAAATATGAATGTAGAATAAAAAGAGGTTTTAATGGCACAAAAATCGGGGTTTTATTGGACTGTTGTGCCACTAATCCGCCTCTGTCGCCGCTGCGGCGGCGCCTTTTGTTCTGGTCCACGCCTGGATGGTGCTGAAACCGGCTTCCCTCTGCAGCATCCGATGCAGCAACATCCCCATGAGTGGAGAAGATGGGATTTTTATGCTGGAAGTGAATTTATGTTTAAACATTTTCATTAGAATTGCGATATTCAGGAGACGTTCATGCAGCCCAGCCCAGAAACGAAACCCTCAAAAGGTGGCATTGCTTCACGATCACTTCCATCAATCACCGAATTATGCAAAACATCACCTATCCCTCTGCTGTGGCTGCGTCTAATTCCCGGTTTGGGTTAAATGTGTTATAAAAAATGTGATGGTGTGCATACTGCATTGCCAATCAGCCGAGAAGGGAAGCAGGAGGGGAAACTGGAATGCATTCTGTTTTTTTTACCTCCAATAATTAATTAAAAAAGTCCCAATTACCATCAGCAAAGCAGAAACTATTCACAGAAATTTGTTATGAAGGAGATTTATTGGTCAATTTGGTTTGATTCAATTTAAATAAATCAATTTATAACTATCTTGTTAATCACAGATGGGTTCACTAACAGCTTCAGTTTTAGAGATGGCGGAAGTCTCACAGGGTTGATGAGCTAACGGCTAGTTTGAGCATTACTTTGGCCAAAGCGTGTTACAGTAATCTTAAAACAACCTTAATCTAATACATTTCTATTTTTGTATTGCATCTTTTTTTTTACTAGGGGTGGGCCGTGATATTTTTTGTTTAAAGATTTGTAAAACTTTGCATACGAGGATTTGTAGATGGGGTGATGTGTCAAGATGTCTCCTATAGCAGCACACACCCCTATTAAGTAAGTAAATAAAGCTAGATGAATTTTGCGGTCAAACTTTTATTTTGAAAGGACTTACTACAGTTGTGCCAACCCTATACAAAGATTCTCATAACACGTTAAAGAGAATGATCATAAACATCCTCCGACAAGCAGAATGAATATTATTTTATAGATCTTTCCATCACCATCAATTTTGCTGACATGGTTATGTCTGCTAGCCTGGCAAGCCGTCCTGTGTCTGTAAATATTAATTCTGGCCACAACCCATAGACCGAGCTCAGTCGTGGGGCGGAATCTACTGTTGTCTTTCAAACTGTCTCCGCTTGCAGTTGGTCAGCATTAGGACTAGGGCTGGGCGATATGGACCAAAACGTATATCTCGATATCTTTTTGCTGAATTTCGATATACATCTCGATATTTTTCCTCCTGTAAATTATTTACAAGTGAACTCACTTCAAGCTGTCTTAAGAAACTATAAACATAAATCAGTAGATTAAATGCATAAAAATGTATTGATTCTTGTCAAACTTTAACCTTAGTGCCTATTCTCTACCAGTCTCAGCTTTAGAAGCACTGAAGAAGAAGAAGAAGAAGAAGAAAATATAATTTCTATAGCGTCTCTCAAGATAAAAATCACGAGGCGCTTCACAAAAACAAAAAATATAAAAAAGAATTTAGAAAATGGTTAAAAATATATTTAAAATGAGCAAAAAATAGACAGTTGTGATAAAAAAATGTTAAGAAAGAGAGAGAGTGAATAGAAAAGAGGAATCAGTGGATCCTGAGGAAGGTGGAATAGGTGGGGAGAGCAGAATAAAGAGAGAGGGTGAAGAAGGTCATACAAAAGCCAGCTTGAACAAGTGAGTCTTCAGCTGCTTTTTAAAGGAGACCACTGAGTCCACTGATCTCAGGCTCAGGGGGAGGGAGTTCCAGAGTCTGGGGGCCACAGCAGCAAATGATCTGTCACCTTTGGTCTTTAGCCTGGTGCTGTGCACCACTCATGATGTCAGATCAGCATCTTGATGTGGCACACCAGTGAGGTGGGATGGATTATCTCAGCAAAGCACAGGTGCTCACTATCACACATTTAGACTGATTTGTGAACAATGTTTGAGAGAAATGGTAACATTGTGTATCTGGAATGAATTTTAGATCTTTAAGTCCATCTCATGAAAAATCAGAGCAGAAACAAAGGTGTTGCGTTTATACTTTTGTTGAGTGTAGATAGATAGATAGATAGATGGATAGATAGATAGATAGATGATAGATGATGGATAGATGGATAGATGGATAGATGGATAGATAGATGGATGGATAGATAGATAGATAGATAAATGGATAGATAGATAGATCTTTTATCTTGTTTTGTGTGAAGACACATGCTTTTAAAGTTATGTATTTTACTGGTAAATAACTTCCAAATCGTCTGAGTTGTTGAAATAGAAAAAAATTGTGAAATAATCGCGATCGTGATTTTGCAAAAACAAAGTTGTGATAAGATTTTTTTCCATACCGCGCACCCGCACCTGCAAGCTTCTGTGAGGCCAGATTGGGCCGAGTCTCATCAACTGTAACTGGCCGACCTTAATCAGGACGCAGCTTGTTGCATCCACACACAACTCGTTTCCAGCACATACATGTGACTTTTAAATGTTTCCAAGCATCGGGAAACCCAATCCTTGTTATGTGTCCTGTTAAGTACATTTCCCGATGTCGGTTCTGTTTAGGTAAGCTGTCAAAGTCTCACAACCCACAGAACCACTGAGCGCCCCACTGGAAATGAGACATCTTGGCTGCTTCTTGCACACAAAGGCTTGCATTGGAGCGGTGTTTGGAGTAAAGCTGGGATTGTTTGTGGGCCGACTGATCGTTTAAGGACACGGGACGCGTCCCGGTCTCCTGCTGCTCCACCTTCCTGAGGCTTTTTGTGCCACAGGTGCCTAATGAGAGCTGGCAGAACTGTGGTTTAGAAGGTGATTAAGTCTAATTCACAGATACGTCAGGGAAGTTGAATGGCACACTGACCTGCTTACGCCTTCTCAAATGCCCTGCTTCTTACTTATGACCTGCTGACTACTAAAACACATTTTATATGACTTGTAAAAGTCCTAATTGAGTATAAGATGTGGAGTATTTATCTCCTCGGTACATCCTGGCCTCTCTAATCATTCATCCACACCGTTTGCCCTTGCACCAGGGCCGAGTTTCCCCAAACAAGCCCTGACAGCCAGTGTCACATTTCATTCCTCGTGGATGACGCTCCCCGACAGAGAGGAGGACACTCATGCGGGGCATTCTTTCAATGTTACTGGCATCTGTAATATTTTCAGAGGTTTGGAAACTTGTTAGATAATCCTCGAGGTCGGACAGCTCGTACATAAAGGGGCGTGCAAAATAACTGGAGTCCAGTTTGTTTGAATGCGTTCCATAAACCCTAAAAAAACCCCCGTCTATTTCAACAGGAAGTGCTAGCTCCAGCTC